AGATCCTTTTATAGGATGCCGAAAAGCATTATGGGTATCTTGATTGCGTTGTTGATGTCGCGTAGTCAGCGATAGAGGCGCTTTGAAAGCTGATAGGCGTTGAGATGCTCTGCGTCATGCCGGTTGTCGACCGAGAACCGGTGAAAGCTGTAGGGCTGCTACCGGCATGCCGAGCTATGGAAGGTAGGTGAGAGTGCATGCCAGTGGGAGTTTTACGAAAACAAACATATCGGGGTCATGAAGTTATGCCGAGCGTACGCTCCCATGCCCACTCGTTAGAACAGTGACGTGTCTGGCCGATATATAATAATCCTGGAGAACGTTCTCGAGATAACGGTTTACTGAGGGCATATACGATAAAAAACCGGCATAGGAAGAGACAATTTGAGGAGACTGTGCACGGAATTTACTCAATTGTGTCATAACCAATTTTTAATAGCGATGTTTGTAAGAGAGAATGAATTTGCAGAAACACACCTTCGTTAAGGTTAAACCGGCATTTTCGATAGGCAAGAATTCTCTTGTGAAAACCTCAATATTTGAGATAGATGGGTTTAGGCATGATTCGGTTCCGAATACTATATCAACTTTGACAGACTCATGAGTCTAGCAGTGTTTTTTAACGTCGTATTTATTATACTTCTGTAGTTTGCAACAACGGCTATTAAATCTCAACAGACGTGTTTCTTTATGCTCACAGTGGCGGTAGTGCTTTACTAGCGGAACATCTTCCATTTCTTTGGAGCCCGCCCAGCAGTGAATCGTTCTTTGGGCTCCCTACCCAGCCGCTACGTCAATGCGTGACGTCAGCAAAACTTCATACATCCGTATGTGCATTTAAGCTACGCGTGTTCTTTTCGTCACTCACCCGTGAACAAGCTACAGAACTGGTCTCGAAACGTCAGGTTCGTATGACGTCAGGTCCACGTGACCATATATATACCAAATTAGATTCCCCGGCAAATTTGGCGGAAACATCGAGGTCACGTGACCTAAGCAGCTTCAGTATCCTCGCTAAATTTAGCGAGGAAATAATTGACGTCGCGTAACCTTATCAAACGTGATACATACATCAATATTATCTCCCCAGTAAATTTAGCCGGGAAATTGACGTAATGTTACCTATACACAAATTCAGTTTCTACAGCATATTTAGTGGTTAGACTAACGTCACCCAAACTGGCGCCATGTGACACATGCATCAACAGAATTCGGCCGCAAAATCTAGAAGGAGAGGTAACATTACGTGACCCATATAGGAATTGAAATTTCACTCTATAGTAAGCGGGGAATCGACGCCACGTGAATATCTGCACCCGGTATTTCCGTTCAATGTAATGAAATAATTAATCAAATAAAGGTTCTTTCCTCTCTGAAACGATGGTTCAGTGTCTTCCAGATATATTTTAAATGACCGCACCTTAAATTCTGCATTTTATGCTTGGGTATAAAGGTAGCTGTGAATTGTTTTAATCCCCTTGCTTGTGTAATATTACAATCCCATCCCATGTTTATAAGTGCAAAAATTACGAATAAGTAAATGATTTAATGAAGGCCTTCAAGGTGTAACGAACACATAAATGTAATATGAACAACAATTCAACACTAATACTTGTTGACGTTAGAGGTTCCCAAAATACTTGCATATTTTCAGTCATCATTAAAAGCGCAAGAATATGTTTCTAGAGCCGCTCTGAATGCTCAGTGAATTATATGCTCATGCGCTATTCGATATCGCACGGAATGGGCCTGAATTTAATATTCGTCCAAATTTGGTACAAAACTAGCGTGCAAGCTAAAAAAAATATAAATATATTTGTTGCGCGCACTGTGTTCACATTGTGTTCACATCACATCCAGTGTTCACATTCCGGAATGACTACGGCTTATATATACAGTAGAATATGACCATGAAGTGAGCTGAGATGCTCTATTGAAATATAGTACTTCTCGTTCCTATATGTGGGCCGCCGTTTCGCCTTTATAAAGGTATTTAAAATAATTTACGAAGCGTATTAGTGATACCGCATCATATTAAACACTGGCAAGCTTGAGCCTAGCCAATTCCTCTTCGCCCAAAGATACACCCATAGGGTATGCAAGCAAGCGATTACAGAGTACCGCAGAGCAAGCGTAAGCACGCCGTTTTTTTTTTTCTTTGTCTTTTTTTAATGTCGCTAGGGCTTTGGTTTCTAGCAAATACACATGTTTTAATTTCTTGCAATTGCGTTTTTCAGATTGAAGCTCTTTTTCTTATCAGAATATGCACTTTGTTTTTTTACAAAAATACGAGAATACCGTTATGAGCAGGAAGGGACCATTAGGTCTGCACTACATTGCCGGCTAAAAAAGAGTATCGCCAGCAGAAAACAGCACAGTCGCAACCGCATACTTGCCCTAGCGCGCTTTTGTAGGCATCTGACAAGGTATTTTGCATATTTCAATTTTCACTCTTGTCGAGTACTGTTTCCTTCAGCTAATACACCTAAGTACTCCGAATTACAAACACTCCGAAGTAAACACAAAATCAGAAGTGTAAGCCAGCTAAGTATATAGTTTTATTGCGGACTATCAATACGAATGCCTACAATATTCACAGCTGCTCCACAAGTAAGTGGTCTTTATAAATAATATTATCTGAATTATTAAAAAAAAATTAAGTGCTTGATGAATTTATTAAATAACGCTTAGGCGGGGTCTGTCGACGGTTGACAGCTGTTCTTTTCGCACTTCAAATAAAAAATGAACCATCGCCAAACACTCATGCCGCCTTAAATATCTTTATCGGTTGGGAAGACAGACAAACCCTTCAGACCTAACGTCTTCGGATCAAAATGAGAATAGACTAACGGAAATATTGAATGAACAATTGGCGCTGAGAAAACTCTTTGCATACAAGGAATCCAATCACGTGAGCTGACAAGAATAAACCCCGTTTTCAGAACCAACATTTATTATATTAAAGCAGACATGTACAAATTACTCAGAAAAGGTAGTTAAGTTACTGAGTATCGATGCCAGAACTAATTGGAGTAGAGTAGAAATTACCCATTGGTAATAGTAATTCAGTAAACTGCTAACTACTGTAAAACAGTAGCGAGTTACTTTGAAGTTACTTTCGAAGTTACTTTTTGTATATGTGTGGTAGCAAAATGAACAGCAGTTTTGATCCGTGAAAAATCCTGCGAGCCTAAAATAAATGCAGTCATTTTATGGTTTGCGTTTTCACCAAAATAGTTTATTTGCTCGCAGACGCAATTGTCTTTCAAAGTTCTTATCGGGGAGTTTTCCTCTTTTCCTCATAAAGACATGTCCAGCCAAGCTAGAAAGACGTTCCACCGTGGCGCTGGATAAAAGGGCAGCGTTGAATTTCAGAAACAGACTGTGCAGGGTCAAGTATGCCAGTGTCAGCATCTTTGGTGTTTATGACGAAACATGTGAGGTTTGTCTCGGCTAGGAGGTTCTTTTATGACAAACTCTCCTCCTTTTTTCTTTTTTCTTCGGCAAGTTGAGATTTTTATGACTGGCCCCTCTTTATTCCCACTACGTTTGGAGAGTACGCTAAGCGAGTGCACCTGATCATCAAGGGGTAAAGTCTCGCGCCACGACGATGAGATCATCAGGACGACTGCGCGTCTCGCTGCAGTGCTAATGCTACGCCGCCGCTGACGCCGGGTCCAACACAAGGTTTTCCCGATGGTGACTCGCAATCCTCGCCGGCGACTACGGTATCTTGACACGCCTGACAAATAAATCGTTCTCACCAAAGAGGTGGTCTCCCTGGCGTGAAAGTTCGTAAGGACGCGAAGGATTACGTGAACAAGCATCCTCGCTCGTACAGTTGCAGTTCGAAGCGGGAACGTGCTTGCTCAATTGAACGGATTATCCGTGTCTGCGTTTGTGCGCGGGGGAGTCCGGCTTCGCAAGCGAGTATGCGCTGACGACGAGGCGACCATGGGAACAGTCGCCCAGGTGCGAGGTCATTCTATTGGCGTCTCCAGTGGAACCCCCAATTAAGGTAAAACTCACTAAAACCAAAAAAAAAAAAAAAGAAACAAAAAAAAAGGAACAAAAAAAAAACAAAAAAACCTCGGAGTGGTTTTTCTTTCACGGTTGCAGCTGAAGGCGCGGCGCCTGCGTGCATTACCGGATTAGGTCAGTACCCGACCAAGGCTTGTTAGGCATCTCTGCCTGCGTTCGTGCGCGCCGAGTGTAAGTGCGTGCGAACGGAATGTGAGGGGGCCCCTTGTTCGGGAATGCCACTTCATCTCTCGGCGTCTTATATACTTCTGTGCTCAAACTTTTGTGATGAGCAAATTAGCACTACATTTCGAAAGTAGTTAGTAATTTGAGTAGAAGTTACCTGAAAAACGTAGTTAAATTAAACTACTAATTACCCAAATAAAGTTGTAATTGAAAGTTACCAAGTTACTCAGAAAAGTAGTTAAACTACAGTAGTTTGAGTAGAGTAGTTGAACTACGTCCAAGTCTGTATTAAAGCGCACATAGATATTTCGTTTAGGAAAGCGCCACATGTCGGTCCTCAAACAACTAAAATATGTTTGCATAAATCAGACAATGTACAGCAGGACATATTACAATTTTATCATGACACAAACACCCTTAAGAATACTATGCATATGTTTGGAATCGGTGACGTTCGAATATTCTTCTTCATTGAAGACAAACTATGATAATACAACCGCCTATCAAATTGTATTAGCTACAGTACGGCGAGCGTTTTTCATTGTTCCCTGGTGTGGTCAAAATAGAAACGAAACTTAAAAGTCTGGATATTTCTTCCAAGCAGCGTTGACACCTGTACTCACAGTGTATTTAACAAGTAGATGAGTCATCGTGCAAATGTCTTTTCAGGTTCTTTACACAGATATATCAAGCTCAAAAGTTTAGAACAAAGGAATTGCTACGTAGTCCAGCACAAAAGAACAGTGCAAATGCTAAAACGGTCGGAGGTCGAGATAAAAAATACAAAACAAATTAATAACCAACTGGAATTCTCGCGACTATATAATGGTCCCCTTTCAGGACGTAAGCACTCACGCACTCCTTGAGAGCATTACACAAACTATGGGGTTGACTCAGACCACGCTGGTGTTGGGTGAGTTTTTAATTTATTTAGAGAATCTAAACATGGTGTAGGTGTAATACCGCGTTACAACGTTCCTACGTGCTCCATTGCCTGCAGTGTCTCTGGCCTTCTTCGCAAGCGCTGTGGCCCACAATTGCCAAAACGGAACAAGACCCGCCTCGGTAACAATTCTTTCATTAAAATTTTGAAAATATTTCGTGTGCTGCAGTATAAGCGAAATCAATGCGTCTATGTAGGCCGCTTTTCTGCGGACATGTTTTTGAAGTACTTGATGAATTTAAATTCGTCTGTAAATTATTATTTAAAGATGTAAATCATGCACGCGAAGCACCCCGTGTAAACAAGATCTTGCGATTATTACTTTCAATTCATTCATCCGGTTTATTATTTTTATAGGAGGAAAAAAGAGAAGGCTGCGACTTTTACTGCTGGAACGCTGAGACCAATTCATGGGACAAATTTTTCTTCGGGAACGGAGAACGATGCTTTGTGAGTAGCAAATGTGATCTTGTTACCACACGTACGGGCTCCCGCGCATGCGGGTCAAATGTTTTACATCTATGCTTTTCCCACACGCTGTGTAATCCCTGTTGTTTTCAAACACATTTACAGTAGTGTCTCTAGAATATGAAACTCCAAGAGGTGTACTTGCGTTTTTATTTCTTTAGTTCCTATACTGCCATGTTTATGGCGAAGGTTATCACTTTCTGTGTTATGATTCCCTCACAACAATACAGCTCAGGATGGTATGGTACTATATTATTTATATAAAATTAATTCCTTGTCCAAACATCGAAGTTCCGTGATCTCGGATATGGGCGGTGACCATGGGCGTACCAACCGGGGGGCAAGGGGGGCGCTTGCCCCCCCCCCCCCCCCCCAGTTCTCAGAGTTGGGGGGAAGGCATGTGCTTTGCCCCCCCCCCCCCCCCCCCCCCCAAAAAAAAAAAGCCGCCACTGAGCAGGGCAAACACTTGCCGGCGGTTCCACAGGCATACCAAGGCACCGCCCCGGCCATGGGGCGGTCCCTTGTTTCCTTGCGCCCCCCCCCCCCCCCCCACTCAAAAACAAGTTGGTACGCCCCTGGCGGTGACTCTTCAAAGTCGCGACACAGAATTAAATGTTATATGCTCAAAACTTTGCCTTGGTCCCCTGAGCCGAAACAAAATGACTGTACCTTGCCCTGTCATAAAATTGAAATTTGTGAAGCATTAGAAATTAAATTGCCACGTAATACTGTGACGTAGCGTAAAACTGGCATCTATTAATATGATCTTACGTGGTCCAGTAACGTCATGTGACGCTGCGAAATACCGTGACGTCACGTGACCCTGTTTTGCTGTACTCCCAGAAAATAAAGGTTTCCCCCTAAATATAGCGGGGAATTGCTTCACATGACGGCCCATTGTTAAATGAAAGTGTGATTTTCTGCTAAACCTAGGCAAAGGCGCTTCTCATTAAATTTTTGCGGATCGTGACCGTTTACTGTACCGTTCGTACGAGTTTCGAAACCAAACTGTTTGCGGCTATATGAGGTTGATGTCTCCCTATAAAAAGCGAAGCATTTGAGTTGACCACTTCGTTTGACCGCTGTGCATATGCCACACAACAGAAATTAGTTGTACAAGTGTGAGCAAGAATAGTTGGAATACAATCATGATTCGCTAGAACTGAGCTGATTGGTTGTTCATGCCTGTGAAATTTGTGTGAATGTGTATGTTCCTTGTCTCTCTCTAGCTTTTGTATTTCTTCCTCCGTTCAGCTGGAAAACCTCACAAGCTGGAATAAAATATTTTCATTATGAGGCAACATTCTCTTTTGGGTTCTTTAACATGCCATTTTTTCTTCAATCGCCACAACACAACCATTTGAAATTAATATTGTATTATATTTTAATTCATCTAAGAATGAAGTATTTCAGATAAACATTAATGATAAGAATAATAAACATAGCAGCGAATATACGACGTTACATGACGTCGCGTCACGTCAGGTCGCGTGGAGCTTTTCCCCACTGAGTTTAGAGTAGTATTTGTGACGTCAAATGTATCCGGTACATTTCATGGCTACTTTTAGCAGCAGATTTAAGAGATTACGTGATATCAGGCTTTGAACTGTTCTGTTACCGCTAATTATATCTCAAGCGCATTTGCAATTTCAATTATTTTTTCCCTTATTTGCAGTACAACGATGGTGGTGAGGGACTATGTCAAAATGGAGACTGCCATTTGACAACCGATTCAAGTGTGCCCAATGACAATGATGACTAAACTCGTGCTCCCACTGAAAAGCCGAAGGAAAAAATGGAGATCCCGAAGAAGAGTAAGAAGCCTAAGGGCAACTCAGCGAAAGACTAGGAAGGAAACTTTTCATTAAAAGTCTTGAAACTAAACCAGGCTAAATAAAGCTAAGGCACTGACACTTTGTACTGTGTACACTGGTTGAGTTAGATAATCCTTTGAAACCTTTCAGGTCTCCTTTTCCAGGATTTTGCGTTGCATTTTTTCTGTTATGTATAGTTATGAATGAGATTTATATACCTCAGGTTACACCTTGGTATTGTAGTTGACTTAAAGTCGGTACTAAACCAAGCGACTAGATCGCAGAACTCACTGATTCGGCATAGTCGTTATTATGTGACCACATGAACATAAATGTTCAACAGTTTGTTACCGAAAGATGAAGCCCTATACTTCTGTCGGAGTAAGTTTCCAATCCTTTATAATTTTGGCGTTTTTAACCCTGGGGAGTGGGAAAACAAGACAGGACACCACGAATTTCCTATTCGTGTTGTCCTGTCCCTATGCTTCCCCGTTCTCCAGAATTGGAAACGTTATTTATCTATTTATTTATTTTACTACCTACAACACCTAAAAAGGCATTACAGTGGGTGGGGGGGGGGGGGCAGCAAAATATATACATGATAAACACATTATAACTAATATGAAATGACGTTATACACGAAAAGTACAAACACAACAAATTCAGTCATAGAGTCATATGATTATAAGATTTAAACATACAACTGGACTTATTCCACGACATCAAGTGACCGCGGAAAAAAAGAACATTTAAGAACATCAGTTTTACATTTATATAAATGAATTTGTTTTTAATTATCTTTTCTGAGAGACATGTAGACAGGCTGTAGTAGATATGTTGGTTTAGAGATACAAGTATTTTCGTAAAAAAATGTTAAATGAAAGTTTCGAATGTAGGCATTAACGCTTCTGACTCAGAGGCCTCCAACTCGGAGACGACTTGAGTTTAGTAACACACTCTCTGAAATCATAATTTCTCGTAACAAACCTGGCAGCGCGATTCTGGATTTTTTTTTTAATATAATATTCCAAATTTAGCCTACAGGGGTCCCAGATTATACGCGCATAATAAAGAATAGATCGATCATGTGAAAAATAGAAGGTTTCTTTTAGCGATAATGAAGCCAACCTAAAATTACGTTTTATGAAAGCTATTGACCGACCAACCTTTGCAGTGATCTAGTCGGCATGTTTGTTCCAAGTTAGAGCTGATGAAAACATTACTCCTAGTTATTTAGCCTCAGTTAAAAGCTTAACCGGCGACCCTCCAATACAGTATGATGAGGAAAAAAATTATCTTTCCAAGTAAACCTGATGTGAATACATTTTGATAGATTTAAAACCATGCTCATTTAAAACACCAAGCCTTAATTTTATCTAAGTCACTTTGGAGAGCAAACATGTCAGTGTTGCAAGCGACGTCTCTCTGTGAAACACAGTCATTGGTATATAATCTTATGTTAGGGGAATCGTTTTCAACTATATATATTTGACAATAAGAAACAAAAAAAGCAAAAAACAAAAGCGGTGCTAGCACTGATTCCTGAGGGACACCAGAAGTAAAATTTACAAACGGGGACTGGAAGCCAATAATTACCATGGACTGCTTCCTGGAATTCAAGTAATAACCTATCCAACAAATACCATTATGATCAATACTAAGCTTTTCAAGTTTAAAAATTAGGAGAGCATGAGGAACCATATTGAAAGCTTCTTTAAACTAAAAAAAATGCAATTAACCTACTTATTTTTATTGAATGATAGTGCTAAATCATGATAGAATTCCGTTAACTGCGTGGTACAAGATGACCAGGAGCGGAAACCATGCTGAGTTGAAGTAAAAAAAAAAATTAGTGCTACGTGATTTATGAGAATGCCGTAAATTATGTGCTTCATTGTTTCGCAGGATTCGGTCATGAGAGAGAGAGGCCTATATCCAAGCCAGATTCTTTGGACCAGACGTGTGGATCGGGACAACATTTCCAGACTTCCATTCAAGTGGTAAAGAACCAGAGTTAAAAGATACCGTAAATGTAATGACCACGTAACTAGTGATAATATCAGCACAGGACTTTAAAATAGTCTTTGGAATATCATCAGGACCAATCTCTGAACCGTGTTTTATTTTGGGTAGCAATTCAAAGATATCTTGCTCATGAAATTGAATTTCGGGCATGTATACCATAAGAGTAGAAGCAATATGTGAGTATTTGTAATGACACGTGACATGCGTAAATACGAATCTAAAGTAATTATTTAAAGTTATAGCCATTAAGTTGCCCTCAGACAGAAGGTTGCCATCGACGAGCAAAGACGAAACACCTACATTATCTTTGCGATTAGACGTAATGATCTTCCACAACTCCTTAGGATTTTGTCGAGCTTGGCATTCAGCGTCGCGAAATAGTTTGCTCGAGACGAAGGTATTGCACGTTTAAGAAGAGATCCTACCTCCACTAGGTTATTATATGATGCGGAGTCATTACGTACATGCGGTATTGTTTCAGTGCACGTTTAGTTTTATTTGTAAGATTGCGCAGCTCAGATTTTTTCCCATGGTTTGTCACAGCGTCGCTTGGCCGAAAGAACTCTCGATGAAACAGAAGTTTCAAGACTTGCTAATCTTTAAGAAGTCAATAAAAACAGCTCGCGCTTCAGTATGAAGATTCATGTTTTTATTAACGTCCGTCTTATATTCAAAAAGCTGGGTGCTACAGGACAGAGACCGCCGGAATCCGTCCTGGTTTACAAAATGTAGACCATTCTCAACCATGCATGTAGTTCATAATTTTTGAGCAAACAATAGGATCCATCAACTTATTTGCAACACAGGGAAGGGAATCGGGAAGGGGCTCCGGAAGTACATCTGATGCGTGGGGGCGGCGTCTGGGGGCTCATGTGGCATCATGTAACTCACCTCTCTCTCTTTTTCTCTTTCTTTACATACATCTATCTATATATATATATAAAGAAAGTAAGAGAGGTAGGTCTGGAAACGGGCGCTCCGAAGGGTCGTGCGTTTCGACTGGGGGCTTTCACGAACTGCGAACTCATTAAGCCTCATTGCAAAAATCATATATTCAGTCATCATATACGACACTTATGATATATATATGCATATGAATATATAGGGAATTTCACATCAGATGGGCAAATTTTATATTACAAAAACTACATATCACACCAAAAAAAAAGCTTGTGTCGTTTTCGTCCTATAGGCTAGGTGCCTATTTTGGAACATTCTTCAAGTTCGAGAAAATCCAGTTCTGAAATGTTTTCGGGTAAATACATTTTTAAATATTCAGTTTAAAGGCATTGTTTTATTTGGACACCTGTTGATCATCATCCAAAAACACAAAATAGAAAATGGGAGTGCGATAGAAGGCACGCGCTGCATTTTACAGCTTTGTGAAAAGTCGCACAACTTCGACGGGTTTTTCAGTTTAGGTTTTAAATGGAGCGCGTGTCTGAACCGACGGAACCACGCCCCTTGGTGAAGTAGTGCAACCTGCCACTGCGGCGTTGCGTGAAGACAGCGAAGCAGATGTTGGTTGCACTATATCTCCACCGGGAGCGGTACCGTCCATGCCGAGAAGCGCTTCGATTGCAAACCGAAACTTAAAAACCCGTTGAAGTTGTCGTGTTTATCAGAAAGCTGTAAACTGCGAAGCGTGACTTCTTTTGTACTCCGATTATTTCATTTAGTGTTTTTCGATGGTGCTCAGCAAGTTTCCAAATGAAGCCATCCCCTTAAACTCAATATTTAAAAATAACTGATTACCGGAAAATAAATAACAATTTAATTATTCCAAACTTTAATATTTTTTCTAAGTAGGCCCCTGGCCAAGTACCAAAACGACAAAAGCCTTTTTTCGGTCCGATGCGTAGTTTTCGCAATATCGAATTTGTCCACCGTTTGTGGTACATCCTGTAAAGAAGGCGTATTTACTGCTACGTTAATGCCGTCTTCACTTTGTGTTTCTCGAGGTCGGCACACACACGAGGGCCAAATAACCGTCGCCGTCTGGTGAGTAATTAACCAGAAGGCGTTAATTAACTTTTTTAATTAGGGAAATGAGATATATGTTGATAATTAGAATCTTACTGAGCGTCATCAAAAACCACTGAATCAACTGTTTATTAGCACGACTTGAAGCTCGTGGAAAACTCGGGGCGCGCCAAAGTTGCCACTCGTGAAGCAGCTCTGAAATCGAAGACGACTTTTGGCGCGTCTTTTTCAGTTCAAGCCTCAGTCGTCGCCTCGTCTTCGTCTCTCACTTCGCTGATTCCGTAAATTAACCAGTCTACGCAAATGCAAACAAACATGACATACTCGTGTGCATGACCTATACCAACAGAGATAAGCTGAACTCGGCGTCCCGTTTAACGAATAAGTTTAATTTTACTACGTCATGGCTGCATTGTGAGCTTTGCTGACTATTTAAAATTCTGAGCAAGTTCCGTTTCGCGCGTATATTAGAGCACCTTGTCCTGTGCTAAATTATATAAAACCCGCATTCACGCGGAGCTGGAAGCGTTCTCTGAGGGAAATGTACCTCATACAACCTGCCCCATGCTGAAAAGATGTTTGATGTTTTCACTTAGCTTACGCCTCCAGTTGGGGGAATTGATTGTCTTGAATACTATGGTGTTCTGATCTAACAGCAGTTTTCCAGAGGAAGGTAATATTTATAATAAAATCAGCACATAACCATTATACTATACTAGGTTCCTGAAAGTACGGGAGCAGCTCATATAACCTATTAAAAGAACAATGTCTTTGTACATTCGTACAGAGAGCTCACGTCATCATCAGTGGGATTAGTACTTTGTTTTTTATGCTTTCTGATAGGAGAGGCTTTCATAGATATGGAAATATTTTTTTCGATATTTCAGCACCCGCAGTTTCCTATATACTGTCACAGGTTCCCTTTGGGAGATCCGGAACT